CCAGTAACAAACACTCAACATATCACACCCAGCCAGTTCATTTTTATTTGTTGTTGTGCTCAGGACAAGCTGATCAGCACCAGTTTACCGGTGATTGACCTGATCGACGTCATCGCCCCCGGCACGGTGAAGTGGGACATGGTGAAGAGAGGAGAGCGAGGGGAGCTGAGGAACGATGAAAAACTCAACAATGCCAAGTAAAGCTCCACCTGTTTTCTTCATTCTTTCTTTGTCTCAGTCATTGCTGACTCTGCTTTTGTTTTTTTTCCCCGCTCAGGTACGTGATCTCGTTGGCCCGTAAGATTGGAGCTCGTGTCTATGCTCTGCCTGATGATTTGGTGGAAGTTAATCCAAAAATGGTGCTGACGGTGTTTGCCTGCCTCATGGGACATGATCTGAGAAAGAACAAACGCTAAAACCAACAACTGGGTGGTGCTTTTAGGATTATTGTTTTTTATTTTTTGTAATTATTTCTCTTTGACGTGTAGCATCAGAACAAAAATAATTCAAATTGTTTTTATTGCATTTTTTTTATTGTTATAAAACAGTTGACCCAAAACCCAAAGCTTTTCATTTTTGTAAAACCACTGCATTTGTTTTGATTTTTAAACTTCTATTGGTTTTATACCTAATATGTCATTAAGAAATCTACAGTAGCCTATTCACTTCCTCACTAAAATAATACACACTTTGTCTTCTCATAAAGTCTGTGAATGTTGTGCTTTAAATGTTGATGATAAAMTAATAAACAAAAAAATCAAACTTGGATGTCTGTTATTTCTAGATTTTTTTTTTTCAGGTTTAATTGAGCTAATTGACATCATTGTTACTGAAACCATAACCATAAAAAGTCTCATTTTAAACTCATGAAACAATTTTGAGATTAAAATTCTTAAAAATGTGTTGCAAGGAGATACTTATGTAACCTGTATGTATGTATGCGCCTATTGTTTTAGAATATTATTACAGACGTCAGTGTCAGCTATAGCTTGTTGTAGGTTTCTTTCCCCATTTCATTCAAATGATATATTTCCTTGAGGAAAACCTTCGTATTTAATTTAAAATGTACTCCAAGCATTCCGAACTAAATTTTTTGGAGAAAAACAAACATTAAAATAGTACATACAGTATGTGTGTACCAGTTGCTCAGATTCCATCCTATAAATGAAAATAGGTATGTGATCTGGACAGATTTTTTTATTAAACAATTCAGCTCACATCTTATTTCACTGACTGAAAACAGCTGACTCAAATTTCATATTTAAATAAATTGCTAAAAAACAAAATAAAATAAAGGTTCACTCACTGTTTTTAAGCAGAAGTGGGTAGAGTACACAAAAGTTGTACTCAAGTACAAGTTGGACTACTTCAACATATTTTTACTCCAGTAAAGTAAAAATTAGTTGAAGGAAATTTTGTAAATGATTAACTAAATGTTAGCTCCAGTATTGTTATTTTATACTTTCTGATCATTGCAGCCATAAGGTTTAAAACAGAGAATGAGAGTTGGTGAGTTACTGATGTGTTCTTTCTGTCCGTATAAACAAACGTTAGTTACGTTCTACATAACTCCTCCAGGAGTGTAACCAGGAAGAGACATACATCATAAGGTCAGTTCATTATTATAGAGGTTAGAAAGTTTTTAGTAGCTTGGAGTTGTTCAGATAGTCWATGTATAGATTCAGCCTGGAACAGACTGGGTTGTAATTGTTTTGTTTTCCTGATACAAGCTCAAGGATGTGTACTACTGTATGGAGCTGATTGTCAGATGAGAATAAAGATTTTTAAAGATATCTAAGTGGGTTTCTGCTATTATTCAGACTTCCATTTTTGAATGACTGATCTCTACAAAATTAAGAAATTATTCAAGTAAGAGTAAAAAAGTAGGCCCTATTTTGTAAAAAGGCTACTTTTGAGTACACTCTTAAAACAAATGTGTTACTTTTTAACACATTTTTTGTGTTAGCATCAAGTAAACACATCTTGTGTTGTTTTCAACACATCTTGTGTTGTTCTATTACAACTTGTGTTGTGTTGTTCTATT